TATATATATATATATATATATATATATATATATATATATATATATATGCAAATCAATAAATAAAATATACCTATATAGTGGTATCATTCTTCTAATACAATGTGCAAATATATTTTAAACTGGAGCAGCTAGTTAGTTTTGAGATAGAGATATGAAAGATAATAGATTGCTACATTTATTTCTTTTTCTTAAAGCGTGTTTTTGCTTGAAAGAGGTTAAGATTTGGCATTTTCATTACAGAATTCTAATAACCACACATGCCTCAATAGCTGTAATTCTATATCAGTGAAAATGAGTTCTTTCAACACCAATTAAACTATGTACATAAAATGACATTCTTAATTATAGTATATAAAACTGGTCATTTCCTCCATGCTTTCTGTTAGCTTCTCACAATGCCACGTTTTGTTACAAATAGGAGAAAATTTACATTCCAGATGCACCAGATGGCTGTAAAGGATTGAAAGGTTTTTCAAAGAAAGGAGCTAAGGACTGGTTTGCACAGACAGAACAGACATAATAAGCGGCAGAAATAATGAACATGCAGCCCCTAAACTCTATACATCCACTTGCACTTCTATGTGTTAAAGAAGGAGGAGGTGAACTTTTTGCTACCAAGAGCTGCGTACAACTATGGGTAACATACTGGAGCCATATTCTAACAAAAGATATAGCAAGAGTAAACAATAGGCAAGGCTTGGTTTCTCACAAATACAAAGAGCCTTCTCCACTGTTTATCATACATATGTTTATTCTTCTGCCTTATCTGTACTTTTCATTTCCAGGAAAGAGGCTAAAAAAAACCCCAACACTCTGCTTTCTCACTTTCCCAAAATTGCCAAAATAGAAAGAATGCTATATTTCTGTACTTCAATACAGTGGAATACAGCTTCTGCTTCATACCTATGCAAAAATTTGAAAAAGAGAAGAAATGTGCTAGAAAGAAAATTTCAAGAGACTAAATGCAGATTGTGAATGTTAATATCTACAAGTGTTACAGAAATAGGCCAATGACTGTGAAGTCAGTTAACTAAGCTTATTTTAAAAAATTATACCCCATGCTTTAGCTGAAAAATTCCCACTACAGTTTACAGATCAATAAAAAATATTTCTGCTTTAAAGTCTAAAGTCTCTCTCTCTCTCAAGTCCCTCTCTCTCCCTCCCTCTTTCCCTCCCTCCCGCTCCCCCCCATGTCCATAATGTTTTTTCATTGTAACCAGTCTGCAAACTGACATATAAGTTATCAAATATTCTGCAATCATGAAATGAGAATTGTAGCTTTACATTTCTATGATCGAGGCCAGGAAAATAAAAGTTAGCATATGACGGCTTCATCACTGCTACTCATCATACAAGAACTCCAGCAAAATGATTTACTGTAGGAGTTAAATTAATGTATTGCTGTACAGTTTTAAAAATTTAATTCCACAGGATTAAAAAAATTAACAAGACCTCAAAGCAGTGATCAAAAGTACCCAATAAAGAAATACTCACTTTTCCTTAAGTTCCTTTAGAGGAACTTCCAGTGGCTTAGATTTTAAACTCCCATGTCCTGGTGATTTCTCCCATTTGTTGTCTTCAATATCACCTTTTTCTTTTTCTCTGTGCTTTTCTGTAGTTTGTTCATCTCCCTTTTCAGGTTTCTTAAGAAGCTACGGGATATTTTAATATACATGTAGTTATTATATTTATCAAGTAGGTACCAAGGCAGTGAACAATAACTGAGATGAGGGGTGGGGGACAGCATTGAGGGTACTTTCTTATACCATCTGAGTGTTTTTACTGATCTTTTTCATGTGTATCTTATAAACACATAAAAAACTAAGTTTTATCCATTGCTTTTAGTAAAATTAGTTCTTCGTTATGTTGTCACTATTTAGGATTATTTGCCAAATAGTCTCCTGTACCCCATGCTTATAAGGAAAACAGCTCTACTGTAGGCCAGATGTAAGTAACTATTAATTCGATTGTTCCTCATTTTTCCCCCTGACAGTCAATTCCATGGATTTCTGGAAACAATAGATTTAAATTGATAAAATTAAGATTTATCTGTAGCTCACTGCTAAGCTCATCTAATATATACTCTACAGTTTGTTCTCTCGTATCCATTTTATTTGTGTTAACAATACCTTGAATGCTAGGGTAAATGACTTTTTAAAAGTCAGTGAAATGTTTCAGTTGCTACTTTTCCACCACTGTCACCTGAAATGCCTCTAATGAAGCATTTGAGATGAAGGAAAAGCAAAGTTGGAAACTTTCTCCATGACCTCTCTTAAATTAATTTATCTTAGAATGAAGCTCTGTCTTGAGTAATCAGACTCTTCTCCTATAAAACTCCAATGTCTTATCCTCATCCTCATCCAGGAGAAGTAGACAGGAGGAAGGATAAGAAAGGTTGTAAGAATACACTGAAATAAGCTCATCTTACAAGCTAAAACCAACCCTGTGATACTTGCTATTCAGATCCTACTGAATTCTTAACACATCATTAGGATTTGTAGAAAGTTAACAATATATTAATGACATAGATAATAACAAATAATATAAATCAAGTATGCTCTACAGGACCTTCAAATGAATCAGAGGCGCTGAGTTTCCTATGAGTAATTTTTACGTCTGGCAGTGCAGTGAAGGAAATGGTTTACCTTCACAATTACCTTGCATATGGAATAAATAACGCTGGTTTTAAAGATAAATGTTATTTTTGGCTTCCACAACAAACTTACAAATTAATTTTTTCTTTGTGATGGAAATATTGTATAAATTTATCATTTTAAAAAATGTTTCACACAAACATGAATTAATAAATATACTGAAAGCTTAGTAACATTAAAGCATTGAAAACATATTGAAAAATATATTTTCATTTTCTGCATTACCTTAATCCTTATTTCTTTTTCAGCAATTTTCTTTTGTTTCTCAACTTCTTTTCTTTTGCGTCTTTCTTCCTCTCGGCGTTTCCGTTTCTCATCTTCTCTTAGCCGTTTTTTTTCTGATTCTCTTCTCCTCCTTTCTTCCCTTTTCTCTTCTCGAATTCTCTGAAATATTGGGAAAGGTTAGCATTGATTTATATTACTATTACAAAAATCTGAAATCAATATTTAAAATGTAGTTCAAAATGCTACCATACCTGTTTTTCTAATTTTCTATTTTTAATATATTCCAAAAGTGGGGTGGTTCTTCTAGCTAAAACACAAAAAATGTGATGTAGTGTTCCATTCCTAAAACAAGCATGTTTTATATGTTAACATTTAAACTTTAACGAGATTATTAATAAGATATAATTAGTAATATTTCATTTGGTCCATTGACTATTACAGAAACATTTGTCTATATTCCCATTTATCATATTGCTAAGGAGTCTAAAAGGCAATAAATTAAGCCTCACGGTTGCAATACCAATATAGAATCTTAATAACAAGTTGTTGTTGTTTTTTACAACGAATACTTTTCCTTGTTATTTTCAATAGAGTACAAAAAACATTTATTTCACCTTTGATCTGATGGATGAGATTTTTATACCATATACCTTTTATTTATTTTTAAATTATTGAAGGGCACATTTGTGCAAAATTGTGCTTCAAATTTCTGTTACAGTATGCCATAGCTACTGATAGCTTTTATTAACATTAATAACAATTAACTGCTGAGTGCAATATAGAAACAATTCACTTGTGTATGCTACTATTTTTTACTTCAATGGGGAAAAAAAGGAAGAACTCTTTGGTAGATTTATAATAATGATCAAATGCAGCCATGGAGAAAATTCTTTCTATATCAGTTCATTATAATCTTATATAAGTGAGGACAAAGTTCCATTTCAAAGATAAGAGATCACAAAGATAAGTGCTATTAATACTACCAATGTTCATGTCTAAATGACTGCTTTTTAGAGACTTCAGGTTAAAACAATAATCTATTATTTTATAACTCTTTCCTAAAGACTCAAAGCCTCAACATAAAAAAACCTTCAAACCTTAACATAAAAAATATTAATAATCAAATAATGTTTTTTATTATAACCCAAGTGGATTGGGGTCACAAGCAGAATTGACAGAGGTTGCAAGTGGTATGGAGGGTTGGACTGCCCATGCAAAGTATAATCAATGCAGAACCTGCTTTTGCCTTGTTTGGGCAGGCACTTATTTAAAACACTGGGGGCTCCAATTTGCTTCCTGCCTCCACCCTGCCACCAACAGATAATGTTTGCTCATCTCCATATCCTATTCACAGTCTTTCCCTTCAGTGAGTGTTAAGTTAGAGTGACACATGGCATTGAATTTTCATATTTTAGTTCACTACTAAATAGTGATAGACAAAACTCTCAATAGGACTTAGCTCAAGGCCAATGTCTCCACAGTGAGTGCTCTACATGCATCCATCAACATTTGTTGGCTGTACCATTGGAGGGACAACTTGATAAATATCAGGTCAGAAGTGTAAATAACAAGAGGGTAGGGAACAATTTTAAAAGAGCTGATGACTCAAGGATGGTAAAAGGAATCACAGCCATTTTGGTTTGGGGGAATGAAAAATTAATACTCTATAATTGGGGGACAGTTCTATACCTTGTGAAAAGTACTTCATATCGGAGGAAGCCAGCTTTGAAGAAAATCATTACATTTCAATGATAGCTTGCACACACAATCCCACATAATTTGCTCATCTAAAACTGGATTCCAGTTTTGCATGGAGGATCCATTTGGCTTGCACATCCATAGCTAGATCAGAACATGCTCTGCCTAACTGAAAGGACTATTAGCTTGTTAAAGCAATGTGGAGAGAAAAAAGCAAAGTATAATCTTACTTGCTTCCAGCTTTAGGTGCAAAAGTTGCATAGCATGTGCGACCAAAGCTGGATCCCCATTCTGTCCAGACAAGTTGACAAAATAATCAGATTATTCTACAACAAATGCTATAGAGATCTAATCACAATAAAAAATAACTACCACAAAAATAAACGTGGTACAAGAAGTGAAGCTGGTTATAAATATATATGTATATATAAAACTCAGATTTGAGAAATTATGCAAATTGAAGTAAGCTCATCCTTTTCATTTAAAAATATGTTAATGCTTTGTTGTATAACAGCAATGAAAAGTATTATTTTATAAAGTTGACAAGTTTTTATTTGATATATATAGATTATAATTTAATTGTTAAAAGTGGTATATTTATTTCTTGTCTACTCCTAGGCAAAATGAAATCATTCATTTTGTAAGAATGGGGGAAGGATGTCAGATAAACTAAATTATCATTTTAAGGGGTAATAGTAAGTAACGTTTGGGAACCTTCATATAATCTAGCTAGCTTTTCCTACAAATATGAAAAGTCATAAAATGCTAACATTAGTGGCCTTAGCAAGGTATTAATATATAAATAAATCACTATCTAACGAATTGTCAAATTTCATTTTGGAGTCATTTTTCTTTCTTTATCTATCCTTTTAGATATATTTCTAAATGTTATGTGGACATTATTGTCCAAAGGGTATTCTTACTTTTTTGTGTGTGTCTTGCTATTAGATTCATTTAGGATTTAAATACTATTTTATGTATTTCCTAGACTAGCCATAAAATATTTCTATGCATAATTCCCCAAAATCATCAATACGTTGTCTGAACTTAGTGCAATGTCCTTTAGAAAGCATGTGTGAGTTTTTTAATTCAAAAGAAAACAAATACAAACTGCCATAATCATAATTTTTCATATGACTTAAGAGGTTCAGTAAGCAAGGTAAAACATGAGCACCTAATTAGAAAAACTTTTAATAATGGAATGGAAAAAATTAGCTTAACAAACCAATGAGTTCTCTTGTTTTTGCTTCAATTTCTCCCAGAAGTGTTTCAGGGTTGGCACATATTTTTTCTTCTTCAGCGCAATAACTTTCCAAAAATTTTCTATATTCTGGATCTGCGAAAGAAAAATATAGAAAGCAAAGTCTTGCAAAAGAAGCTCATCTTAAATTACAATAAGCAAGTTGGGAAACTGTTTCTACTAAGAACAAAAAAGTGTACCATCTTCTATGCTTCCAGATTTTGCATCTTTCTTCTTTAGTTTCTTTTTAGAAATCTTTTGGAATGGTGCAAATTCAACAACAGCAGGATATTCCAAACCTTTAAAGAATCACAAAGGAACAGAATTATAAAGGACAATTAATTTTAAAACTGAAGTTCTTTTGAGAATCAAAATTATTCATCCTATTTTATCTGACCCCAGCTTATTACATATAGCATCAAACCAGAAATCAGTACCCAAGAGCAAATTTCCATGAATCCAACAGATCTACAGTAACTGATCTAATCAGGATCTCCTTCATATTGCTCTAAAGAAGGTTCTTTCAAGTTAAGCTTTACTCAAATGACACATCAGGAAGGTCCTTTTTTTTTTAGCAACCATATGGGAATGGTTTGTCGTTGCCCTTTTCTGAAGTGATTTTTCTATTGTTGAATTTAGATTACACTTCTGGTAATCCAAGCAGTCTTCCCACAAAGTACAGTACAAAGCAACTGGTGCCAATGAATATCTTTGTAGCAGTCTACCACAAAGGCACTAACTTTTATTATATATAAAAATAAAGTGTGTGTGTGTGTGTGTGTGTGTGTGTGTGTGTGTGTGTGTGTTCTATTTGCTTGAGCTCACTTTCAGTCATACAGCCAAAGCTTTAAGTGTTAGAAAATAATGTAACAAAAAAACAAACACATTTAAATAGAATTTTGCTTTCGAGAATTCAGAGAATGGTCATCAGTGAGATGCACTGTGGATCCAGGTAGTCTTCGACTTTCAACAATTAATTTAGTAACCATTTGAGGTTACAACAGCACTGAAAAAAGTGCTGTTATGACCATTTTTCACACTTATGATCATTACAATATCCCCATCTTCATTCAAATTTACATTCAGATGCTTGACAACTGGTTCATATTTATAACAGTTGCAGTATCTTAGGGTCATGTGATCCCTTTTTGCAACCTTTTGATAAAAAAGGTCAATGGGGAAGCCAGATTCACTTGACAACCATGTTACTAATTTAACAATTGCACATAACAAATGTGGCAAGAAAAGTCATAAAATGGGGCAAAACTCTCAACAAATTTATCACTTAACAACATAATTTGGGGCTCTATTGTGGTCCACACATTTTTATGGATCCTTTTATGAGTAATTTATGAGTTACCTTTATTATCAATGAAGACATAGCCATCAAAGCGATCTCTAAAAAGAAGGATGTCATCAGGATTTCTAAAATTAATATATGCTCTTGAGTAGAGGTGGGGATAAAGACTGCAACAAGAGTGAATTTCAGTTACTTGTATGTAATTTCTAAAAGGAAAATTATACAAATATATGTCTCAAAGAAAGCAGATATATTTAATGAAAAGACAGGCCATCAGAAATGCTATGACTAATGAATTCTTAATAATCATTAACCTCAATGCAAATGTGCTATTATTAAACCAACCTATTTTTCACAAGACCTTCAAGGTTTGAAAGCCACTATAACTTCATTCCTACTTTGGCTGCAAGTAAATTGAGCAAAAAAGGCCTGGGAAACAATGGAGGCAAGTTAGATCAGGTTAGGCCTTCCATTCAAAGAGAAGAGATTCTGAGCAACAGAGCAAGTGATGAAAACGAAAACTTATTTTTGATACTTTTTCCCAATGAAGTCCAGTTTCCTAGTTACATTTTATACTATGGTGTGATTTAACATTTGTTTATTAATAGATTGCAACTGCTTAAGTTTGAACAACATATTAAATCATAAATTATGCTCTAAACCCACAATACTGTATGCCAAAATAGTGAAATCATACTATGGCCTACTGCGGTATATCACCCTAGTCCATGAACACAGGTATATGATAGCGATAATGTTATACAATGCTATAACAAACAAGCAACTTAAGATTTTGTATCTGGATACAAAAAAAAATCTGTATTTCCCCCTTTTTCCCTTTCCTTTTGGTACCTTTCACAATCTTGCACACTTTAATATGCAATATAGGAAAAAATTATACATTGGCAACATTCAATCTATTTTGCGCTATGGTCCTCATGGTGACAGAATCAAACAACCAGAGTTCTGTAAGCAGAATAGCTGTGCTATTTGATATTTTGAAGTTTTATCGAAACCATGAATGTTTCAATTGCTTTTTGAGGAAAACAACACCATATCACAGAACAATGATCCATTAACAATCCAGATTAAAAAATTTACATTCCAATCTCTGAAATGTCCATAAACAGCCTGATAGTCTCATTAGAAAAGCAGTAGTAATATATGATGTGATTTAGTTTTATTTAGTTGCACCTCTTTACATAAGAAGTTATATGTAAGAATTAGTTTGATCTGGTGGCTAAAGAAACAGCATATAAATTAAGGGATTGTGAGTTGTAGTGCCACCTTAGCCATGAAAACCACGTAGATGACCTTGGGCTAGTCACTCCCTCTCAGCCCAATTCACCTCACCTCACAGGGTTGTTCTTTATGGGGAAAATAAGTGAAGGAAGATGTGTAGGATATGTTTGCCAACTTGAGTTATTATAAAGGTTATAATAAAGGTGAAATAATAAATGAATGAATGAATCTCTCAGAAGATCCACTCAATCTGGCTAGATGGTCAAATGTCCATTCTTAAACTATTTTTAGTTAGAAAAAGTAAATTTTAATGTCTCAAATATGCATGAGAGAATATTCTTAATACATCCAAACCCTACATGATTCCTGATCCCTGTAAATCTCCCACAAATCAATTTCATTTATTTGACTTCTAGTGCCATGATAATTACAGCAGCATTCTGGACAGAATGAATAGCATTAAATATGCCATTAATGAACAGTAGAGTACTTTTATACATCCTTTGTATTAGAAACATTTTATACTAAAATTCATCCTATTGATATTAATAGCAACAAACAAACATGAAATAAACAATTGTCTTGGTTTATACAAATGCTCACCTGGGATCAGAGGAACAAAATTCAAAATAATCATGAGCTGGAAGTGGATGGAGTTGTTCTTCTAGCTGATCCTTAGTAAAATTAGGAGGAAGCCGGCGAATAACTACCTGCAAAACAATACAAGTAAAACCGGGCATACCACAGTTTTACTCATGCCAGCACCTGCAGTACATTCAAAGCAAGCTTACTGTTGCTAATCTGCATTTTTAAAAAAATATTCATTAGAAATATTCCTTCCCATTAGAAATTTTCCTAATATTCTTGAGAAGCACAATGCTGTCCACATGCTATTTAGCTACAAATTTGTGCCCTGGGGTTGTCTCTCAGTCTCCCTCATTCCTGACAATTCTGTCCTGAAGTGGGTGGGTGCATTAATCCCACTCAGATGGCCACCTGTTTTTCCATCCTAGCATTCTGATGGTACATAATGTAAAGAACAAGGATGATGATCATGATGACATGGTTGCACTGCTTGCTTCTGTCCTCATGGGGGATTTGAAACAAGGATCCTATTTGCTCCAGGCAGACAAAGCAGACTTGGTGCCCTCTGAGCTTGCTTGTTTTCTTACAGACGTTTCATTATGACAGATAGGACAGCACTCCAGAGGGTTAACGTCATTGCCCAGAAGATCATTGATTGCCCTCTCCCCTCTTTGGAAGAGCTTTATAGCTCCCGCTGCCTTAAGAAGTTCAAAACATTCTCAAAGATCTATCTCATCCTGGGCACACTTTTTTTGAACTATTACCATCTGGCAGACGGTACAGGATAATAATAACAAGGACAAATAGGCTGAAAAACAGCTTCTATCCCAGGGCAGTAACTATGCTGAATTCTACTGTATAGTGCAATATTAATGGGATATCAGGGGTTTTCAATTCAATGTATAGAATGTGAAGGATGTGTGTTTGTGTTCATAGTCATAATGTATACTGAAGATGGCATTTAATTTCGTTATATGAGGTGCAGTGACAATAAAATAATTAGAATAGAATAGAATAGAATAGAATAGAATACTTTTTTGGCCAAGTGTGATTGGACACACAAGGAATTTGTCTTGGTGTAAATACTCTCAGTATACATAAAAGAAAAGATACATTCGTCAGGAATCGAGAATCATAAGGTACGACACTTAATGATAGTCATAGGGTACAATAAGCAATCAATCATACTAGGAAACAGTCAAATGGAAGGGGATGGGTGATAAGGAGTGGTGAGAAGATTAACAGTAATTGTAGTGCACACTTTGTAAATAGTTGAACAGTGTTGAGGGAATTATTTGTTTAGCAGAGTGATGGCTTTCGGGAAAAAACTTCTTGTGTCTAGTTGTTCTGGTGTGCAGTGCTCTATAGCGTCGTTTTGAGGGAAGGAGTTGAAACAGTTTATGTTCGGGATGTGAGGGGTCTGTAAATATTTTCACAGCCCTCTTTTTGACTCGTGCAGTATACAGGTCCTCAATTGAAGGCAGGTGGGTAGTAATGGTTTTTTCTGCAGCCCTAATTTATCCTCTGAAGTCTGTGTCCGTCCTTTTGGGTTGCAGAACCAAACCAGACAGTTATAGAGGTGCAGATGACAGACTCAATAATTCCTCTGTAGAACTGTATCAGCAGCTCCTTGGGCAGTTTGAGCTTTCTGAGTTGGCTCAGAAAGAACATTCTTTGTTGCGCTTTTTTGAGGATGTTTTTGATATTAGCTGTCCATTTTAGGTCATGTGATATAGTAGAATCTAGAAATTTGAAGGTCTCTACTGTTGATACTGTGTTGTCTAGCATTGTAAGAGGTGGTAGTATAGGAGGGTTTCTTCTAAAGCCTACCACGATTTCTGCGGTTTTGAGTATGTTCAATTCCAGATTGTTCCAGTTACACCACAAGGCAAGTTGTATAACCTATCTGTATGCTGATTCATCACTGTTTCGAATGAGACCAATCACTGTTGTGTCATCAGCAAACTTCAGTATTTTAACAGATGGATCGTTTGAGATTCAGTCATTGGTATATAGGGAGAAGAGAAGTGGAGATAGCACCAAATTATTACCCAAACTAGGTAACACTATCAGTGCTAAATGTCTATGGAGATTGTCAGTCATCCAGGTCATGGTTGTTCCAAAGGTGCTTTTTTTCAAAAAGCAATAGGACTTTCCATGTTTTCTTTGAAGACATTTCGCTTCTCATCCAAGAAGCTTTTTCAGCTCTCTAAGCTCTCCAGCTTGAGCTCTCCAGAGCTGAAGAAGCTTCTTGGATGAGAAGCGAAACGTCTTCAAAGAAAAAAAAAACAGAAAGTCCAGTTGCCTTTTGAAAAAACCACCTTTGGGACTATCAGTGGGACTGATGATGTCACCGAGTTTGAGTAATGAAACGTCTGGAAGACAACCAGCAGGCTCAGAGAGTACCAAAGACCCCTCATGTCAAGCTACAAATATTCCCCTTTATAAAGCAGACCGTGTATCCTGGCCAGGAGCGGGCTGGACCCAGGATAGAGAACCGGAGCCCAACTGTGCCTTTCAACATCGCTCCGTCCCTCCCTTCCACATATCCCGGGCCCTCACCGCCCCTTCCCCGCTTTGTCCCACGCGAAGGCCCCTTAGCGCTCCAGGTGGGGTAGCTCCTCCCACTCCCCCCCCCCCCACGACGCCGACGCCGCTCCTTCCTCGAGCTCGCTGTCCTTGGTGCTGGAGGGCAGCCCCTCCCTTTGCCCGCCGGCCTCTTACTTTACTCAGCGCCGCTCTTTTCTCCTCCCGTTGTTGCTTGCCCGGCGGCAGCCCCAGGTTAGAAGGCGGGGGCGGCGGGGGCGGCGGCGGCGGCGGCCCCGGGGAGGGCGTCTCTGACACACGACGCGGGGATTCTCGCTGGAACGGAGCCTCCATGACTACTCCGCCGCGTTAAAGCTTCAGCCGGGCTCCCTTTCGCTCTTCTTTCAACGGCCAACCTTTTGCCGGGAAACATCGCGAGAGCAGCCCCCGGTGCCCAAGAGGGTCTCGCGAGAGTTAGGGGGAAATCGGCCAAGGGGGTTGGGGTTGCTAAGGGATGGCCAGCAGCGCCCGGCTGTCAGTCAGAAAAGCCGGCGTCTCCGGTGGGCTGCACCGGGTCCTCTTTCATAGCTGCGAAACTGGGCCCATTTGTTCTAAGGGCCCGATAATAACCCATCAGGTGTTCATCATGTGTGGCACGATCACGATTTCTAGGTATAGCCTCTTCTCCGTTTGTACCGCGGATTAGGCAAACACCTGAGCTGATGGTGCTTTGGGGTTCCCTCCCTCCCTGAGTTTTCGGGATGTATGCACGTTGGACGCGTCTGGGAGAGAATCACAAAATAAATGTAATGCAAACCCACCTGTCCCATCCCATTTTTTTTCTTCTTGCAACAGCCTATCTGCAGAGTGCAGACTTTGCTTTTCCCCCTTGTTTTTATGAATGATATTAAATACAGCCCACAACAGGATAACAGTTGTGGGACTGTTGAAATTAAATTTCAGAACTATAATTTAATTCTTGTGTTGTCAGAACTCATAATGTTTGGATCTGGCTTAGCATTTGTATTACAGCTTTCAGTGGAACCTTTACTTATGTGAATTGGCCCAGAAACAATAAAATAATTGAATATGTACTGCCACCCATAACTTCTCAGTCATTAAGGGATTCATATTTACAAGCCTTGCTAGGAACTTTGCTGTGTAAATGAAGGGGTAACCAAGAACACTCCTTCCTCTTCTATCCCTTCTCTAAATATTTAACCACCTTCTGAATTTTTCTATGGTTTTGCCAAACTGTCCTGTTACTGATGCTCAGTACTTATAACCCTACTCCATCTTTGAACTTTAGTAATTGCTTAGATCCTTGCAATAAACCTGAATTATGTAACCACTAATCTCTCCAGGGTAAGGGAGACGAAGAAGAAACCATAATGTCAAAGAAAGTGACAAATATTAGACAGACAACACATTTACTAGCACAGTAAAAACAATTTTCCTACAATTCAGTGAAAAAAATGAATTCCGTTGATAATTTTTTTTAACAATTATCAAAAAGATCAAATGAAAAATTTAATTATGAAATAAAGAATAAAATATAATATCAAAACTATTTTTTTCAGGACATTCTGGCACATAATTAAGATGGAAAAAGGCAAAGCAGCAGTTCATGGGTACAGAAACATATATTGTAATCCAATTTGATTTTTTGTTTGTACATTCACTGTCTAAATAGCAGTTCCACGATGCAGTGAAAGTTAAAAATACATTATTTTGAATAAAATTGATATAAACAAAATACTGTCATCATCTTGGACAGTTCTGATGGTCACGTGGTATACATAGTTATATAAAACAACAAATTCAGAAAAGGATGAATGACAAATTATTTAATGAGTCTGCACAGTGATGAATCTGCACCAATATTCTAAGGTCATGTACTATGGTCTGACATGGATGTTTCTAACATCATGTCACTTTCATTCATTTCAATTTCAAAAGTTTCATCTAATGGAGAAGGCTCTTCTGTGGTTTTTCTTTGATGAGGTGCTTCTAATGCCATATTGCTTTCTTCTGTAGTTTGCCTTTCTATATCAAATTCCAATGCACCCCATGCAGGGGACATGATGTTCTTCAGTGTCTTCATAGTATGCACATCAAAATCATAGCATCTGAGTTTATCCTTAATTGCAGTCCCTAAAAGAAATTGCTTAGGTTAATATTTTATACAATTATGGCCTGCTTGACGTGTTTTTCACTGTCTGATTATTATTTTTTTGTTCCATATGGGCTTTGAGAAGACTGTTCTAAACTACTGATAGTTTATCATTAGTGAAGGAACCTTATTTCAACTTGGTACATATTAAAATATATTTTTGCAAGTATAATGTTTGTTAAAACTTCAAACAAGAGGGTAGAAAATAACACTAATTAGACAGCAAGAAAGGAAAAATAAAAGAAAGCAAGAAGAAAGCAAAAAGTGCATAAAAATGAGAAAAGTTAAAGAAAAATAGGAAAGAAAAAAGGATCAAGAGGTGGCTTATGATATTCTTCATAGCAATTATAAATATAATATATATTAAAATATATTTTCTCTTTATTTTATCATTATTATTATTATTAATCCTGGTCAACCATTCATTATGCCAAATAACTACGTATCATACATGTTTCTTTGAGATAACCACC